CAGCAGCAGCAGCAGCAGCAGCAACCACAAGGGTCAGCGTCCCCCCAGCCAATTAGCGCGCTTCCCAATAGTGAAAGTAAGACCCCAAACGCTGCTGCTGCTGCTGCTAGTGCTGCTGCTTCTGCTTCTGCTAATGCTGCTGGTGCTGCTAGTGCTGCTGCTGCTGCTGCTGCTGCTCCTTTGCAGCATGCGCACGCATTGGAGCAGCAGCAGCATAAAGAGAGTTAAATTAAGACTGCCGTTTGTACTCCCTCTTCCTTCCCTTCTCTTATTGCTGCTACCGTTGCTGCTGTTGCTGCTGTTGCTGCTGCTGCTGCTGCTGCTGCAGGATTTGCTGCATGCGGTGGAGCAGCAAGGCACTTCTTTGGGGCCTCGCGGTGCTGCTGGAGCGTTGAGGAGTATCAGCCGTTTGCGGCTGCTGCCGCAGCAGCCGCTGCTGCAGGCGCTGCTGTCTCCCCTTATAGGCAGCAGCAGCAGCAGCAGCAGCAACAACAGCAGCAGCAGCAGCAGCTGGGGAGCGGGAAGGAACAGGTGGAACTTGACGGCTGAAAGCTTAGGTGCGTCGAAGATAGAAGTAAACCCTAAACCCTAAACCCTAAACCCTCGTTGTTTACTGAGTTGCGTCAGGGCCTACAACCTGCGGCTTCCTTGCATAGCCAGGGCAGCACACGTCAGGGGTTTAGGGTTTAGGGTTTAGGGTTTAGGGTTTAGGGTTTAGGGTTTAGGGTTTAGGCAAGGCAAATCGAAATTCATTGGTTAGGGCCCTAGCCTAAACCCTAAACTCTAAACCTAAACCCAAACCCTAAACCCTAAACCCTAGACGAGCGCCAGCAAAGGTTTTTCGTTTACTGTGCTGAAACTACTGCTGCTGTTGTTGCTGCTGCTGCTGTTGCTGCAGTTTCTCTGTGGCGAGCAGCAGACGACATGCCTGTCCTGCAGCGGCAGCAGCCGCTGATGCAACAGCTAATCGAGGACACAACGGAGCGGCTTAACCAGGCAGCAGCAGCAGCAGCGGCCGCAGCAGCAGCAGGAGAAGCAGCAGCAGCTGCTGCTGCTGGAGACGTTGAAGAACTGCTGCCGCAGCACGCGGTGTCCGTCGGCCGCTGCGCTGCTCGCATGCGGCTGGGATGTACGTACACCTCGTTAACTAAGGTAAGCTGCTGCTGCTGCACCTATAGCTGCAGCAGCACTTCAGGTGCATCTCCTGCTTTATATGCTGCTTCTGCTGCTGCTGCTGCTGAGTGTCGTCCCTGCAGGCCCTCAGCAAGTATGTCTGCACATACCTGGCTGTTGATACACCGCTGCAGCAGCAGAAGCAGCAGCAGAAGCAGCAGCAGCAGCAGCAGCACAGAGCAACGCGCAGGGACAGGTTCCTCGCCTTGTCAAAGTGTCTCTTCGCGATTGCTCGGCTAGAGCAGCAGCAACAGCAGCAGCAGCAAGAGCAGCACAAACAGCAGCAGAACGAGGAAAGGCATTGCGTATTTGCTTCCGAGGATCTGCAGAAGCTGCTGCTCTTAGCTGCAGCAGACGTCAAGCTGCTGCAGCCGCAGGAAATGCCCCTGTTGCTTGCTGCAGTAAACTGCTTGCTGCAGCAGCAGCAGAAAGGACTTAGCAGCGCCGAAGCAGCAGCGGTAGCAACATCTGCTGCTCCACCGTCTCTCCAGGCAGCAGCAGCAGCGTTTGCTGCTGGCTGCCGCGCTGCTGTGCTGCAGCAGCTGCAGCAGCAAAATATCAACAAGGGGGAGACAGCTCTTCAGCTGCTGCTGCATCTTCACGTCTTGCATGCGCGTTGCGGTTTGCTGCCCACGGGCTCTGCTGCTGATCCTGCTGCTGCTGCTGCTGATCCTGATACTGCTGCTTCTGCAGAATGGCTAGACGTTGCTGCAGCTCTTGCTGCTGCTGCGGAGGCCTTGGTGTTAGGGAAGCGCTCAGAGACAGCTGCTGCTGCAGCAGCAGCGAGAGACACACGGGGGTCTCCCCAGGGAGCTGCAGCAGCAGCAGCAGCAGAGGCAGCTGCTCTCGATCGTTTGCTGCAACAGCAGGGTGTAGCCATGCAGCAGGACATTGTTGCTGCTGCGCCGTTGCTGCTGCAGCATTACAGTAGGGACTCAGCAGCAGCAGCTGCTGCTGCTTCCAAGCTGCGAGCAGCAAGCGCAGCAAATGCTGTCGAGGGAACATTTGCTGCTGCTGCACGGCAGCAGGGAAAAGAACTCTATCGAGCTATTGTTGCTGCTGAGTCTGCTGAAGAGGTGCTGCAGCTCGTCGCAGCAGCAGCAAAGCGGGGCCGGGAGCAGCAGCAGCAGCAGCAGGAGCAGCAGCAGCAGGGTGTTGGCGAGTCTGGAGGAGGAGCAGAGGGCGAGGGAACAGGAGGAACTGCTGCTGCTGATGATGGAGAAGCAGCAGCAACAGCAGCAGCAGCAACAGCAACAGCAGCAGCAGCAGCAGCAACAGCAACAGCAGCAGCAGATGGGGATGTACCGCCCGGCTTGGACGGTCAAACCATAACGGCAGCACTGCACCAAATAGCCCTGTACTCGCAGCAGCAGCAGCAGCAGCAGCAGCAGCAAGGGCGGTTGCTGCTGCTGCTGGACGAAAGGATGCTGCTGCTGCTGCATGCAGCAGCAACACACATCCCTAGAGCTGACGGCAGCATCACTCGCATTTCGTGGGCGCTGCAGCGGATCGGGTTATTGGGGCGTCTCCCTGTGCTGCTGCAGCAGCTGAAGGTGCAGCAGCAGCAGCAACAGCAGCTGGTGTCTCTCTTGAACCGTCTGCAAAAGAATTTGCTGCTGCGGCTGCAGCAGCTCTGCGAGCAGCAGCAGCTGCTGCCGCAGCAGCTTGCTGCTGTACTCCGGGTGCTTGCTTTACTGACAGAAGAAGGGGACGCAGCAACAGAAGCAGCAGCTACAGCAGCAGCAGCACCAGGAACAATCGGCGTCGAGCAGGAACAGCAAGCAGCAGGGGGTGCTGCTGCAGCAGATGCAGGCTTAGCAGCAGCAACACGGAGCCCGCGTCTTGCTGCTGCTATATGCGGCGCACTGCTGCAGCAGGTGCAGCAACTGCAAGCAGCAGAAGCTTCATCTGTGCTGCTGGCCTTAGCAAAGTTAAGGTGGTTGGTGCTGCCAACCGCGCAGCAGCAGCAGCAGCAGCAGCAGCAGCAGCAGCAGCAGCAGCAGCAGGTGCCACTGCAGCGGCTCATTCGAGAGCAGCTTCTCCCTGTGCTGCTGCAGCGCATGCAGCAGCTGCTGCCCGTGTGCAATACGCAGAGTATTGCTGCTGCTCTGTGGGGCGTTGCAGTGCTGCAGCAGCAGCACGAGCTGCTGCAACAGGAGCAGCAGCAGGAGGAGCCGCTGCAGCAGAAGCAGCAACAGGAGTTGCTGCAGCAGAAGCAGCAGCAGCTGGGGGTACTGCAGCAGCAGCACCAGCAACATCAACAACAGACCCACTCCGACGCTGCTGCTGCTGCCTCCGTTCAAGCCTCAGTAGCTAACTTCGTTGCTGCTGCAACACAGCAGCTGCAGCAGCAGCGGCTAGTCCCTAGAGAAGGAGCTCGGTGCCTCACGCTGCTGGTGCAGGCTTTTGCGCAGCTGGCGCCGCTGCTGCTGCAGCAGCAGCAGCAGCAGCATTCTCTTCAGCAGCATCAGATGCTGCTGCTCGAGGTCGTGCAGACGGCAATAAAACGCGTTTCTGCTGGCGAAGCTGTTGCAGTGCAGCAAGCCGGGCAGCAGCAGCAGCAAAGGCAGCAGCAGCAGCAGCAGCAGCACCGGCGTGTTGTTATTGATCTACTGGATTCGGTGTTGCAGCTGCTGGCTCGTTTGACGCAACTGTACGTGCAGCCTCGAGCAGCAGTAGGTGCTGCTGCTGCTGCTGCTGCTGGCGCATCGAATGCTGTTGCTGTACATCAGCAGCCAGCTGATGCTTTTGCTGCTGCTGCAGCAGAAGCAGCAAATGCCGCTTGGTTTGAGGGATTGTGCGGGGCGCTGCAGGAAGCAGCAGCAGCAGTGATAGAAGCTGTTACGCAGGAGCCGGCGCCGCAGCAAGAGCAGCAGCAAGAGCAGCAGCAGCAAGGGCAGCAGAAGCAGCAACAGGAAGAAGCGCAGCAGCAGGAGCCTGAATTTCTTTCCTATCGGGTTGCCAGCAGGCTGCTGCAGTCTGTGCTGTCTGCTGCTGCTGCACTGCCGCACGCCTCAGGTGTAGATACACCCAACAGCGTCGAAGGCTTCAATGCAGCAGCAGCGCTGCGGTTGCTGCTGCAGGCAGCTGAGCAGCTGCGGAGAACATCCATAAGACAGCTTGCAGCAGCAGCAAAAGAGGAAGCAGCAGCTGCTGCTGTTTTAACAGAAGCAGCAAAGGCAGAAGCACCCAAGACAGATCGTGCTATGGCTGCTGCTGCTGCTGCTGCTGCTGCCTATACACCCCAAAGGCAGCAGTTGGTGAAAACTGCTCTGCTGGCACTAAGTGCAGCACGCCGCCTTGATGGGTTGCAGCAGCAGCAGCAGCAACTTCAAGCGAGGTCAGCAGCAGGAGGAGCAGCAGCAGCACCAGAAGAGCTGCACTCCCCAGCACCTGTCCCCACAGCAGCAGAAGCAGCATCAGCTGCAGCAGCAGCAATCCAGAAGGGCTCTCTGGCCTTAGAACTCGTCATGCATTTGCTGCAGTTCGTGCCTCATACCTCCACTGAGGTGCTGCTGCTGCTGCTGCCAGAAGCGCATCGCCTTGTGCAGCAGCTGCAGCTGTCCGCTCAGTTTCTGCAGCAGCAGCAGCAGCAGCAGACGCAGCAAAACCCTGCAGATCAGCACCTTATCCAAAGCTTTAAGACCTCCCAGAGAGGTCGATATGCTGCTGCTGCTGTTGCTGCTGTTGCTGCTGTCTCGCGTCGCCCTGCGGCTTCGCGGTCTCGTGGAGCGGCAGCAGCAGCGGCTGCTGCAGCAGCTGCGGCTGCTGCAGCGGAGCAGCAGCTGCAGCTGTTTGCTGCAGCAATTGGGCGGTGGATTGAAGGCAACTGGCACAGAGCCGACCCTGCTGTGCAGCAGCTGCTGCTGCATTTCTTTGTTGACGCCTTGGGGCTGCAGCAGCTGCTGCTGCATACAGTAGAGCGCCAGGTAATACACAAGCAGCAGCAGCAGCAGCAGCAGGCGGCGCGGCAGCAGCTGCTGCTGCTGCTGAGGTGGAAGCGCCGCCTGGGACTGCAGCGAGTTGCTGCGCTATTTGCTGCTGTGGGGTCCATGCTCCTGCTGCTGCCGCCTCCAGAACAAGCAGCAGCAGCAGCAGATCTGCTGCTCGCCATGCAGCGCCTGCAGCTAGACGAGCGTGAGGCTGCTGCTGCTGCTGCACTTCAGGCCGCGGGCATCGAAAGCAGCAGCAAAAACAGCAACAGCAAACGCAGCAGCAGCAGCAAAAGAAGCAGCAGCAAGAAGAGCAGCAGCAGCAACAATAGCTGCAGCACCACCAACAACCTTGTAGATGCACAGCCCTCAGCCCGTCTGCTGCAGTCTCTGCTGCAGCTGCTTGCTGCTGCGGAGCCGCCAGAGCCTTGCTCGCAGCACAATCCAGAGGACGAGGTGCAGCAGCAGCAACAGCAGCAGCAACAGCAACAGCAGCAACAACACCAGCAGAAGTCGCTCTGGGGTTTGCTGGACTTGAGAACAGCAGCTCGTGCTGCAGTTGCTGCAAAGGATTTGCTGCAGCAGCAGCAGCAGCAGCAAATATCGCGCGAATCTGCAGCAGAGCTGCTGCAGCCTGCAGCTTCTGACTTGCTGCAGAGATTGGAAGCTGCTGATCATGGAGTCCCTGCTGCTGCTGTTGCTGCTGCTGCAGCAACAGGCCCCACTGCATACAAGGGCTTAGGCGGGGCATCTGCTGCTGCTCTGACTGCTGCTGCTGCTGCGCTGCTGCGTCTGAGGCCTTGGCTGCCTGGAGAGCAAGCAAAAGCAGCAACAGCAGCAGCACAGCAAGTGCTGCTGCACCTTTGCAGCATCACCACGCTGAAACAGCAGCACGAGCAGCAGCAAGCAACCCAGATCGCTACCGCAGCAGCAGCGCTTCTTCGTGAGTTGCCACTGCTGCTGCAACGGGGAGCTGCTGCTGCTGCAGCCACAGGTGCAGCAGCTGCCGCTGCTGCACCTACAACGTCCGGGATGCTGCTGCGTTCTCCTGAGAGCAGCAGAATCTTTGCTGCTGCAGCAAAGCTGCTGCAAGACGCCCGTCGTTATATTCATTTGCTGCAGTGGGGTCACCTGCTGTCTCTTGCTCATGCTGCTGCTGCGGTAGGGCTGCATGCAGCAGCAACAGTTGCTGCCGGGCCTGCAGCAGCAGCAGCAGCAGATGCATGCGAGGCCCTGACAGCAGCTGCAGCACTGCTGCGGCTCTGCTGCAGCAGGATGCACTTCCCTGCTGCTGGTGCAGTGGTGGCTGCTGCAGCACCATTGGGCAAGCTGTTTGCTGCCGTCGAAAAACTGCGGCCCATTGCAGCAGCAGCAGCAGCAGCAGCAGCAGCAGAAGCAGCGCCAGAACAAGCAGCAGCAGCAACAGCAGCAGCACTAAGCAATGTCCTAAAGGACATCGACGCAACACGCAGCGCTTTGTCTGCTGCAGCGCATGAGCTGGTGCTCTCCTCTGCTGGAGCAGAAGCAGCAGCAGCAGCGGCAGCTGCAGCAGCAGCAGAAGCGGAAGCAGAAGACGATGCGAGCATACTAGACATCAAATTGTTGGGTGCTGTTGCTTCTGCTGCTCCTGCTGATTCTGCTTCTGCTGCTTCTAAGGGGGCTGATGAGCTGTGGAAGGCAGCAACACATGCGCTGCAGCAGCAGGCTGCAGCAGTAGCAGCAGCAGATGCGTTAGCGTGGTGCGATGCTGCTGCTGCTGCCAGCAGCACGGGGTTGCTGCAGCAGCGGTTTGAAGCAGCAGGAAGAACTGCCGTAGGGGCAGCAGCGGCAACAGCAGCAGCAGCAGCAGCAGCGACACCAGCACCAGCGGCAGGAAGAAAGGCAGAAAAGCGTGGTGCTGCTTCTGCTGCTTCTGCTGCTGCTGCTGCTGCTGCTGCGTGGCATAGCTTGCAGCGAGCTCTACGGCTGTGGGAGGGACCCGCGGCACCGCGGCTGTCTGCTGCTCTTCGCCTCATGAAAGGCAGCCGCCATGCTGCTGCTGCTGCTGCTGCTGCCGCAGCAGATGCGGAGGCTACAACCGCGGCCGACGCTGCACCTGGGGAGCTACCAGCAGCAACAACAGCAGCAGCAACAGCAACAGAAGCAGCAGTAACAGCAGCAAAAACAACAAGGTCTCTTGCAAACGACGCTGTCCTCTTCTGGCTTGCTGCAGAGCTTCTCGCAGCAGAAACACAGCAACAGCAGCAGCAGCAGCAGCAGCAAGACCCGGCATTGACTGCTGCTCGTAGGCAGCTGCTGCAGGCCCTCCTCTCCACGGCGCGTGCAGCTGCACCCAAGTGAGGCAGCAGCAGCAGCTATTGCTTCTTCTGTCGTTGTTACTGCTGTTGCTTTTGCTGCTGCCTCTGTTACTGCGGCCGCTGCTGCTGCTGTCGCTGCTGCTGGAGTTGTTCTTACTTGTTTATGGTTGCTGCTGTGCGTTTGCTTCTGCAGGAAGAAGACAGCATCAACGGCTGCTGCTCGGCGTCTAGCTGTGCTGCTGCTGCTGCTGATGGCGGCAAACCGCTTGGGGGCGTTTGAGGCCCTGCACTGGCAATCGCTGCAGCAGCAGCAGCAGCAGCAGCAGCACGCAGCAGCAGAGGAGGAAGCGAAACTGCAACGCGATCTGTTTCAGGTGCTGCTTCCTCTTTGCTTTTTGGTTTGCTGTTTGCTGCTGCCGTGTAGCACTGCCGTTTCGTTTGTTTGCTGTTGCGCAACTCTAATGCTGCTGCTGCTGCTGCGGCTGCTGCTGTTTGGGGTGTCTGTGCAGGTGCTGCTGCCTTCTCTGGCAGACAGTTTCTCTTCTCTCCTCTCGAGGCAGCAGGCGCAAGACCCAGAAGCAGCAGCAACAGCAGCAGCAGCAGCAGCTGCTGCTGCAGCAGCGCAGACGTTGCATTTGCTGCGGCAGGCCCGGGCAACGCACGAGCCGCTGCTGCTGCAGTTAGCTGCAGTTATTGACCGTGCAGCAGCAACAGCAGCAACAACAGCAACAACAGCAACAGCAGCAGAAGGCTCCCAAGCAGCATTATTTGCTGCTCTTATGCGTGCGCTGCAGCTGCTGGCAGATGCTGCATGCAGCCAGGAGGCGGGAGGAGGCCTCACCGCTGTTGCTGCTGCTGCGCTGCGCCTCGCAGCGGTGTTGCAGCAGCAGCAGCAGCAGCAACCCCTGCCGCAGACCCTCCGCGTGCTCCGGCTCGCTATCACTGCACAGTTTGCTTCCAGTGACGCACCAGAGCAGCAGCAGCAGCAGCAGCAGCAGCAACAGCAGCAGCAAGGACATTACAGAGGGTGGGACGCAGCAGCTTCTGCTGCCTATCGGGCGCTTCTGCAGCAGGCAGTCGAGGAAGCAGAGCCCATGCTGCAGCAGCTGCATGCAGCAGCAGCACGTGCTGCACCGCATGCAGCAGCAGATGCTCTTACAGAGGAGCTGCGGCAGCTGCAGGGGTGCGGCATTCCTCTGCTGGGGGTGCTTGACAGTCTCAACAAGGTACTGATTGCTGCTGCTGCACTTGCTGCTGCTGCTGCTGGACTTGCTGCTGCAGTTGCTTCTGCTGCTGGAGTTGATTCTGGTGGTGTACTTGCTCCTGGTGCTGCACTTGCTGCTGCTGCTGCTGCACTTACTTCTGCTGCTGTTGCTGCTGCATGCATGCTATTGCATTTGCTGTTGCCGTGTTGCAGATTCGCTTACTACACTGCAGCACAGGCATGCACCAAGGAGACAGCAGAGGGAGAGACAAACAGCAGCAGCAGCAGCAGGGCGTGCTGCAGCGCGCTGTTGCGCCTATTGCTGCTTCGTGCTGCAGCAAGCTGTTTGCTGCAGCAGACTGGCGGCTGCTGCTGAGCCGCGCCTTTGCTCTGGCGGGGGACGGCAGCCACCAGCTGTCTCCTCTTCACAAGGTCAGGTGCTGCTGCTGCTGCAGTTGGTGCTGCTGGAGTTGCTGCTGCTGCTGCACTTGTTGCTAGTGCTGCCGTTACTGCTAGTGCTGTGCTTGCTGCTGCTGCTACCGTTACCGCTGCTGCTGTAGTTGCTGCTGGTGCTGCCTTTACTGGTGCTGCCTGGGGCATAGCATAGGTTGCTACGTGCGCCTATGCTGCTGTGCTGCTGCTGCTGCGTTTGCTGCTGCAGGAGGTGAGTGCTGCCTTGCATGCGCTGCGCCTCCCCCACACTAACGAAGCATGGACAGAAGACGGCCTGCTGCTGGATATGCTGCTGCTGCAGCAGCAACAACAGCAGCAACAACAGCAGCAGCAACAGCAACAACAGCAGCAACAACAACAGAAGAATCAGCAGCTAGCAATAGAGGCGGACGGCCCGCTGCACTTCGTCTGGCGCTGCCCTGCACCGCAGCAGCAGCAGCAGCAGCAGCAGCAATATGGCCTGACAGCTTTAACGGCCCTGAAGAGGTTCTTGCTGCAGCAGTGCAGCACTCCCTTTGTTGCTGTCGACACCTGGCGCTGGGCAACGCTCAGCAGCAGCAAGGAAAAGCAGCAGTTCGTGCTGCAGCTGCTGCAGCAGCAAAACCAGCAGCAAAAGGACTTGCTGCAGCAGCAGCAAGACTAGCATATGCTGCGTTGGTGGCACACTTTGCTGCTGCAGTGGCTGCTGCTGCACCTCGTGCTGCTCCAGCAACAATTGCTGCTGCTGCACCTCGTGCTGCTGCAATTGCTGAAGAAACAAGTGCTGCAGCAGCAGCGAGTGCTGCTGCACCGCCTGTTGCTGCAGCAATGAGTGCTGCTGCATCGCCTGTTGCTACAGCAACAGTTGCTGCAGCAACAGTTGCTGCAGCAGCAGCAAACTAACAGTGAACGTTCTAATACAGGGAATCTTAATCTTGAAACTTGTCGCTCGCTTGAGCAGCAAAAACAGCAGCAGCAGCAGCTGCTGCTGCTGCTGCACTGCTGCTGGACTGCTGCCAGTATCACGGAAGCGACGCGAGAGCAACGCAGCAGTATGAATACCCAGCAGCAGCAGCGGTTGCTGCTGTTGCTGTTTCTGCTGCTACTGCTGATAGTATAAACGAAGCAATTCACGCATGCGTCGCAGCATCTGCTGCTGCTGCAACATGCGGGATTGGTTGCTGCTGCTGCTGCTGCCAGTTTTTCATTTCCTGCTGCTGTTGCAGCAGCAGCTGCTGCAGCTGTTGCAGCTGTTGCTGCCTCTCGGGCGTCATCTGTTGCCTGAGGGTTTGTTGCAGCTGGGTTGCTTCTTCTAAGAAGAGCTGCTGCTGCTGCTGCTTGAGCTGCTGCTGCTGCTGCTGCAGCTGCTGCGTCCCTGCATTTCCTTCCCTCTCTGTTCTTATTGTTAGCAGTTGCCTCAGCAAACGACGAGAATGCATTATTTGCTGTTTGCTGCAGAGGCCTCCCCGCTGCAGCAGCCGCAGCTGCAGCACAGACTGACGTGCCAGCAGCACCTCCTGCAGCAGCAGCAGCAGAAGCAGCAGCAGCAGAATCACAAGTCATGCAATAATTAGAGACCCCAGTGCTGCAGCACTTGCTGAAGGGGAAGGCCCGCGAACTGAGCTTGCAAGGCAGCAGCAGCAGCAACGCACAGAGCAGCAGCAGCAACATACACACAGCAGCAGCAGCAGCATGCCCAGAGCAGCAGCAGCAGCACGCAGAAAGCAGCAGCACCAACACACACAACAGCAGCAGCAGCAGCAACGCACAAAGCAGCAGCAGTAGCACACGCAGGAACAAGACAAAAGTAAGAAGCAGAAAAACAGAAATCAGCAGCAGTGATACACAGGGCTGCAGCAGCAAGCACAGCAGCAGCAGCTGCTGCTGCAGCAGCAAACCCAAGTGCTAACCCTCTCTATCTCTGGAATGGAGAGAGCACGGATGGCCTTGGCCTTATAAAAACGCATGCAAAGGCCTGCTACCCCTTTCTGCTGCTGCTGCTGCTGCTGCTGTGGGGTCGCTAGCCGAAATGTCTTTGTTGCTGCTGCTGTTGCTGCTGCCGCTGAGCCTGCAGCTGCTGCGCAGCTCCGTGCAGGAGGGAAGAAGAATGAAGCATGAGCAGCAGGTGCTGCTGCTGCTGCTTCAGGTCGGGGCCAGGCTGAGGCCCAGCATGCGCAAGGCAGCAGCAGGAGCTGCAGCAGCAGCAGCAACAGCAGCAGCAGCAGCAGCAGTAGGCGGACCTCCCAGCAGCGTGTCATACGTCCCTCTGTCTTCACCGCATCACTTGCTGCTGCTCCAGCCACGCCTTCCCTTCAACTCGCTGCTTTTGTTGCTGCTGTTGCTGTTGCTGCTGCTGCTGCTGCTGCTGCTGCTGCTGCTGAGTGGCAAGGGGGGCCCCACAAAGGTTAGTCTGCTGAAGCCGTTGTTTCTGCAGTCTACAGCAGCAGCAGAATCGAATAATAAAAAACATGAAGAACTGCTGCTGCTCCATTTGCTGCTGCATGCAGCCGCAGCCGACAGTCGGCAGTGCCAAATGCATGCAGCTGCAGCAGCAGCAGCAGCAGCAGCTGCTGCTGCTGCTGCAGCATCGTGAGCCCTTGTTGTGTGCAGAATTGGATTTGTATTTTTTGTTTGTTCTCTCTCTAGAAGGCACGGGGGAAGACGTTGCAGCAACAGCAGCAACAGCAGCACAACTGCTTGAGCAGCAGCAGCAGCAGCAGCACCTACAATCGAGGCCTGCTGCATCGATTGCTCGAGACCAACTGCCGCGACAACACTGCCAGCAGCAGCAGCAGAAGAAACAGCAGCAGTAACAGCAGCAGCTGTAGCAGCAGCAGCAGCAGCAACAACAACAACAGAAGTAGCAGCAGCAGCAGAGGCAGCACGTGCAGCGCGATGTGACACACAATTCTTCTTTTGCTTCTTCCGCCGCCAGAACAGTCTCCAGGCTGTGCTGTTGCTGCTGCTGTTGCTGCTGCTGCTGCTGCTCCCTGTTACTGCTGTGGCTGCTGCAGATGATGCCTTTCAGTGCTGCTGCATGCAGGCCTAGAAGGCTGCAGCAGCCTCTCAGGCTGGGGTTGAGCGTGCGCCTTCAGCAGCAGCAGCGGCAGCAGCCGAAACAGTGTGAGCAGCAGCAGAAGCACCGGCAGCTCCAGCTACGGGAGCAGCAGCACGAACAAGAGCTGCTGCTGCAGCAAGTGGGCTTGCAGAAGCAAGCATACTTGCTGCAGCGCAGCCTGCCCCCACAGAAGCGTACTGAGCGCCTCTACTCAGCAGCAGCAGCAGCAGCAGCTGCTGCTGCTGCTGCTGCGCCTTTGCGCGTCCCTCTCCATTTGGTGGAGGGCAAAGGACCGGGCCTTGCTGCTGCTGCTGCTGCTGTGGTGCAGCCGCTGCTGCCTGTTGCAGCGAGCAGCAGCAGCTCGGGAACAGGGTTGCGCATGCATGCTGCTGAGGTGTCTCTCCGTATCCAGGCTTCTGTTGCTGCTGCAGAGCTGCTGCTGCCTTCGTGCAGCAGCAGCAGCAGCGGCACTGGTGGGACGGAGGGCCTGTGGCAGTGGTACGGCTCTTTGCTGCTAGGCCCCAGCAGCAGCAGCAGCAGCAGCAGCAGCAGCAGCAAAGGCCTTCTTGCCTACGCTGATGCAGCAGCAGTGTTGGCTGTCGCCGAGTGTTTTGCAGCAAAAGGGTATAACAGCCTTAGTGCCTGGCGCCGCATCTTTGCTGCTGCTGAAGCCTGCATGCAGCAGCAGCAGCAGCAGCAAGAGCAGCAGCAGAGTGACAACAGCATTAAAGCTGCTGCTGCTTCATGCAGACAACAACTCGAAGCTCTAGCGGAACAGCACGTCCCAGCAGCATCGCATAGCAGCAGCAGCAGCAGCAAGAGCAACAGCAGCAACAGCAGCGACAGCAGCAGCAGCAGCAGCAGCAGCAGCACGAGCAACAGCAGCAGCACGGAAGATGCACTGCAGCAGGTGACAGTTGGGGGTCTCCGTGTGCTGCAGCTGCTGCGAGCTGCTGCTGCTGTAGGTGGAGACTGGGAATGGGGCCGCAACCTGCTGCAGCAGCTGCTGCAGCAAACTGCACACTTCGCCGACTTTGCTTCAGGCACAGAGTGAGCAGCAGCAGCAGCAGCAGCAGCAACGGCAGCAGCACTTGTATGAAGGCTTTGCGGAGGCATTTATTTTGGGGTGCATTTTGTTTTGCTGCTGCTGAGTGCTGCTGCGCTTCTTGCTGCTTGAGCTGCAGCAGCAGCCGCAGCAGCAGGTGCTGCTGCTACGCCCAGTGTGCTTCTCTGTTGTGTCCTGCTGCTGTTGTTGCTGCTGCTGCAGGTTGCTGTCGCTTGCAGCAGCAGCAGGAGTAGCAGGTGTGGGGCGGGAGGTGGGCCGCTTTTGTATTGCCTTTGATCGCCATTTGCTGCTGCATGCAGAGCCGCAGCAGCTGCTGCTGCTGCTGAGGTGTATAGACAGCGCATCAGACATTGAGGAGGAGATCTTGCAGCACATGATGAGGTAACGCGTCCTTGCTGCTGCTGCTGCTGCTGCTGCTGCTGACATCGTTGCCGCTGCTGTTGCACCTGCTTCCACTGTTATGAATTCTGCTGCTAATATTGTCGCTGCTGCTGCTGCTGTTGCTGTTGCTGCTGCTGCTGCTGACTCTTTTACCGTCTCTTCTGCAGCTGCTTCTGCTGCTTCTGCTGCTGCAGCGCCTGGTGGTGTTGCTGCTGCTGCATCTGCTGCTGTTGCTCTCGCTTGTGAACTTGTGTGAAGACGCTTGTCTCTGCTGCTGCTGAGAAGCTAGTTTGCGTCTGCTGCTGCTGCTGGTGCTGCTGTGTGTCAGGCGGCTGCACTGCTTTGCTGCTTTGGGCTTGCTGTCTCCTGCTGAGGAGACAGAGACACTTCGGGTGTATGCGCAGCTCGGTATAAGACACACAACCTTCTGTCGGCACATGCTGCTGCGGCTGCAGAAGCAGCAGCAGGAGCAGCAGCAGCAGGGGCTGACAAAAGCAGACGCACTGCAGCAGCAGCGCATGCGGCAGCGGGTGCTGCTGCTGCATTTCCTGCAGCAGCTACAGCTGCAGCACCGCCAAACATTAGCAGCAAAACCTGAGTTAACGAAGCAGCTGCTGCATGTGCAGCGCTCGCTGCTGCTGCAGCCGTGTGGACCGACGCAGCAGCAGCAAGGACAACAGCAGGAGCAGCAGCAGCAACAGCAGCAGCAGCAGCAACTAAGCACAGCTGATGACTTCTTAGCTGAGGCCGCGCGACTGGCGGAGAGTGCCTCTGCGGAGCAGCAGCAGCAGATATTGTCGTTGCATGCAGCTTGCTGCAGCAGCAGCAGCACTGGGGGGCTGCAGCGCGAGCTGTACAGACACCGCAGCTATATAATGGGTTTCGGTGCTGCAGCAGACAGCGAAGCCCCCCGCAGCTACAGCGAAGTGCTGCCTTTTGTGTCTCTCAGCCGGTATGAGGCTCTTCAAGCAGCAGGCCTTACTGCTGCTGCTGCTGCTTCTGCTGCTGCTGCGCCTGCTGCAAAAGATCCTGCAGCAACTGCTGCTGCTGTTGCAGAAGCAGCAGCAGCGGGAGAGACATTCTACCGACAGAAGCAGCACGGAGACACCCCAGAAGCAGCACAACTAACAACCGGGCATGCAGCTATGATCTTAGATGCTTTGCTGCAGGTAAATTGCTGCTGCTGCTGCTGCTTCTGTTGCTGCTGCAGCTGGTTTTAGTGCTGTAGCTGCTGCTGCTGTTGCTGCTGCTCTTGCCTCATAGCCGTAGTGCCCTTGCTGCTGCAGCTGTCACACATGTGCTGCTTAAATTCCAATTGTGCTGCTGCTGCTGCTGCTGCTGCTGCTGCTGCTGTGGTTTGCTGCTGCAGCTCAAGTACCACCATGCATGGCCGGAGGTGCCTGCTGCTGCTGCTAAGCTGCTGCAGCAACTTAGCAGCAGCAAGGAAGCAATCGATTTGCTTGACCCCCGCCAGGTGCTGCCTCGACTGAATCCGAAATTCTCTTTTTGTCTGTGTCTCTCTTTGTCTCCGTTGTCTGTCTCCTCTGTCTCTGTCTTATCTCTATCTCTGTCTCTCTCTCTCTCTCTCTCTTCTTCTCTGTCTCTGTCTTATCTCTGTCTCTGTCCTATCTCTGTCTCTCTCTGTCTCTGTCTCTGTCTCTCTCTGTCTCTCTGTCTCTCTCTCTCTCTGTCTCTCTGTCTCTCTGTCTCTCTCTCTCTCTCTCTTCTTCTCTGTCTCTGTCTCTGTCTCTGTCTCTGTCTCTCTCTCTGTCTCTCTGTCTCTCTGTCTCTGTCTCTGTCTTCTTCTCTGTCTCTGTCTCTCTTTCTCTCTCAGTCTCTCTCTGTCTGTCTCTCTCGTCTCT